TGTGGTCCCCTCTGGGCTTACTATGCTAGGCTATTAAAGCCAGCACAGAGGGCAGAGCCTCCCTCTTTTTCCCACCATCCCTTACCCCTGGGCACTTTACATGTACACAAGCACCCCAGTGGGCTTCATGTTCCTGTGTCTGCCTGCCCACTGACCCATCCTTGCCTCATTGACTTCGCCTGACAACCTTCCCCTGCCTTCTTGTAACCTGATTCCTTCTTGCATCCAGGATCCTAATCATAGAAAGAAAGAACAGTGAGAGGACCTAGAAAATAGAATCCCAACCCTTATTTATAAAAAAAGGAAAGGGGAAGTGGTGAGCTTATTGCAGCATTTATTTATAGCCCCACCTACTTCCAAGAGTATCTTAAGTAGTACCTGCTTTGAAAGAGGCCTCAGACAAAACAAAGGCTCCTCTTTCAAAACCAGACCAGGGAAACACCAGCCCTGCCAGTGGTTAACAGGTTAACAGTGGAGATGAGAGTCAACCTGGCATTGAACCCCTGGATATTTTTAAATGTGAACATTATTTGGATGAGAGGCAGTTTGGAGGGGGGTTAAAAGCATAGATTGAGTGTATGCCCAAAAGGACTGAAAACAGGTGTTCAAACAAAAACTTGTTCAAGAGTGTTCTTACAGCACTATTCACAATAAGCAAAACAACCCAAATGTCTATCAACCGATGAATGGATAAACAAATTGTGCTGTGTCCCTTCTCTGGATTATTATTCAGCAAGAAAAAGCAATGACGTACTGATACAGCATGGATGAACCTTGAAAACATGCTAAGTGAAAGAAGCCAGACACAAAGGCCACGTATTGTATGATTCCATTTGAAGGAAATATTCGGAATAGGCAAATCCATACAGATAGAAACCAGATGAGTAGTTGCCAGGGGCTGGAGGGAGAGGGGAATAGTGAGTGACTCCTTAATGGGTATGGGATTCCATTTCAGGTGATGGGAATGTTGTGGAACTACATAGTAGTAATGGTTGCTGAACATTGTGAATGTACTTAATGCTACTGAATTGCTGAATTGTACACTTTAAAATGATTAAAATGGTAAATTTTATGTTATATGTATTTGACCACAATAAAAAAAAATAAACTTGTTCTTGGGGGAAATAAAAGCAAAGACTTAATTAGCTGTGTGTGGGTTCTAATCTTAGCTCCATCACTTACCAGCTGTGTGACCTTGGCAAGTCACTTAAACTCTCAGTTCCCATTTCCTCGTCTTTAAAGTGGGTATAATTGTAACAGTACCTACCTCATAAGGTTATAAATCTTGAATGAGTCAATATATGCAGAGTGCTTAGTAGCTGGCACATAGGAAGCATGCTGTAAATATTTGTTATTAATCTAATCAGGTATGCTCAACTGGGTGCAGTTTTGCCTCAGAGGAGATACTTGGCAATGTCTGGAGAGATTTTTGATTGTCACAATTGGGGGGTTCTGGCATCTAGTGTGTAGGGGCAAGTGATGCTGCTAAACATCCTACCATGAACAGGACAGCCCCCACAACGAGGAATTATCTGGCTCCAAATATCAGTAATTCCAAGGTTGAAAATCCCAGATTTAAACAGAGCGTGTAGAGAAATGTGCTTCATCTAATGAACGTGTAGATAAAAATGGTCCAGATAGAGATTTTTGTTAGAAAAAGACTATAAGCCAAAGTATTAAATGTTCACCGTGTCTAGTGCACTTATGTGAGTCATTGTGGGGGATACAAAAGAAATGAAGGTGTTGTCCTTGAGAAGCTTGGGTAGAGAAGAGCTCTGTGTGATGGAGTGATTTAGGAGGAAGTTTTTACCAAGAGGCATTTGTTATCATTTTTCTTTATTCAGAGGGTGATCTGGGGTCATCCACACTACTCACAATAATGCTCACTCAATGCCAACACTTCTGGTTCCCTGTAAAGATGCGTCTTAAGTGAATAGTGTGTAGTTCCTTCACATGTCTGAATGTGTCTTGTGTTTGGGTAAATTCTATTGAACAAATATCCGAAAAGAAATCACTGTCACAAATAGAAATAAAAATTACTTGTTTGAGTCAAGGCACAGACACAAGAGAAAATATTAAATCTCCTTGTATTCAATCACCCATATACCAGAAGCAAAAGGAGATTCTTTCTGCCCACTTACCATTTAAAGAGTTATTTCATCAGATTCTAAAACCATATATCCATATAATTAGCCTAGTTCAGATCACAGAATCTCTTCTCACACAGAATGGCTCCCCATCAAAAGGTCTCTGTTGATTTGCTAGCTGTGAGGGCTTGGGAAGGGACCCTTATTCCTCCTCTGTCCTTCTGCCCTTAGGCTAAGGATAGAAGCCTTTCAAAAGTATGCCATGCCTTCACTCAATCTCTGTGAGTGGCAGTTGTCCTTTAGCGTTGGGCAATGGGAAGGAGGGCTAAGGAGTCTGGTGGAGCCCTCCAGGAAGGCAGACCTCCAGAGGTTCAGGTCCTTGGAAGCTAAGCATGGCGATGGGTGATCATGGCTGGGGCGAGGGACCCTACCCCATGTAGCCACCTTTGCATACCTTCCTCTACAACTCTGACCTCCTATCCACGAGGTACTTTCTGGCAACTTCTGTTTATTCAGTGCCTGCTATGGCAAGGAATTTTATCAGACACTCTTGTAGGAGGAAACAAAGACGAATTAGACATAGAGCGTGTCACAATGAGTTCTCAATGTGGCAGGGATATAAGACCTGTTATAAGTCACTCTAGTATAAGATAGAAAGTGATCAGGGCAATAAGAAAAATGTAGAAAGACTGCTATGGGATTTCAGAGGAGAGAGTTTGTCTCCAATGGGGAGTTTGGAGAAGTCTTTTTGGAGAGGGTAGCAATTGAGTTAGAAGATGAATGTTGGTGAAAATGTAGACACATGTTGAAATGACGCTGGAATATGCTAAAGGACAGAGCAAGCGACAAGGTGAGAAGTTGAGTATGTAGGGGAAGAGGTTTTGTAGGATTTGTGGAGGGGAGTGTGGGGGAATAGATGAGCTGGATAGATTGAGACAAGCTCATGAAAAATCTGCAATGCCAGGACACAGTTAAGCCATGGAGAATCACTGATATTTTCTGAGCAGACGTGGAGTGGTGACTGGACTAAGAAGACGGTTGTGCAACTGTGTGTAAGGCAGACTGGAGAGATATCAAGGGTCTGCGTTATTGTGGGGCAAGAATGGTAAGGAGGGGGCAGCCTTGGCCAATGTTTCAGATAAAGCATTTGGCAGGACCAATGGCAGGGTGTGGCATCACATCAGCTTACTTAGGCACGAGGACTGGTGTTCAGGAGCACAGGTGCTGGACGCAGATGTTTTGGGTCCTAGTTCTGGCTGTGCCGCTTAAGCCAGCTACGTGTCCTTGGGCAAATTGCTTCACCTCTTGATGCCTCAATCTCTTCATCCAAAAATTGGGAGTAAAAGTCTTGTTCCTCATACACATGAGCTGAAGAGTAAATGAGTGAGCGCATTTAACACATTCTGAATATTGTCTGTCACAACCTAAATTATTGTGCTCAATAGTTCAATATAAAAATTGGCTGTTATTATTATTGAAGGTAACGAGAGGGTAAAATGGGAGGATGCACTTCTGAACTAAGTTGGAATCATGATAATTGCCAGGAATAAAGAATTACACAAGGAAAAGATTGGCCTTTTGTTCGTCTCCACAAGGCTTCTTGGAGGGCCTGGAATGTGGGGCCACGTCTCAGTAGAGGACAGGGTGAATTCACGGACTGTCCATCTACATAATGGTCCAGCCAGCTACATTCTTCTTGCTTTCTGCTTGTAAACGCATTGATTTTACTGTCTGGCATTAGCTGCATTAAACTTTCCCAACAGATCAGCAGTACTCCCAAGACATAATGATTTCCTCACTTCTGTTAATGGAGAGACCTGGGACCAAAATCCTATGGTCTCAAGGGAGACTATCAAACAGATGATGCTTTTAAGAGCAAGGAGGACATTAGGCTTGGGCACTAAAGAATGAACATTGAGGATGTTTTATTTAAAAGAAAAGTGACTGTGATGTTTTGGCTTTAGTTTACAAATATTGTCTTGTCTATATGCCTTGGGGGGGTTGTTTGTAGTTGGGGGGAGAAGAGAGACTGGGGGGTATTCTGGAGCAAGACATCCTTCCTCTTATTTTGAAACTTTGGCTGTAGGACTGTAGGACTCAGAGCTGAAATGCTATGCTCGTCTTCCATGCCCCATTTGGTGGTCACACTGTTCTAATTTAATGCATATGTAAGAATAAAAATTAAGCTTTCAAGTGCTGGGGCAGATTTTTTTAAAAAGAGATGCAAGCTTTATCCCTATAAGATTAAACAATCATCAGGATTTAAAGGTTTAATCTGCTGGAGTTCAGCCCAGGATGGGGTGCAGAGCCCCAGAATAATGGGATGCAGCCTCAGGCTTTGAACATCAGAGCTAGTTGGGGTGTGCGTGTGTGTGTGTGTGTGAGAAACATGCTAGCGAATATTTGAGGTTTCTCCTTTGCAAAGGGCTGTGACAGAGGAATAAAGCTGCCTGCCCCTGCCTCCTCCATTGATTCTTCAGTGGCTGTGCACATGAATGTGTGCTATTGTTCCAGGCACACGTCGGCCTTAAGAAATAGCACAAAACAGGCCCGTCCTTATTCAGACGCAGAGCCCCCTCCATCACTCAAACCAGCCCTTCCAGGTCACATGCCGGAGGCCTCTGCAGACAGGACGCAGCTGCCTCAAATCTGCTGCCTAACATTTGCCGCGGTTCGAAAAACCTGACAGCCCTGAGCTCCCCAGGCTCAGCAGGGGGAACTAGAAAGATCTGAGGTTTGGGCGCTATGTTTTCCCAGGAACTGTGGCTGGAAAATGAGAAAAAGTGTGCCGTGGTTCGGAAGCCTAAGCAAGGCAGGAAGCGCCAGGAGCTGCTGGCCGTGGCCTTGGGGGTGAAGGTGGGAGTCAAAGGTGGCTTTCTCTGGCCCCCTCTCAAACTCTTTGCCTGTCCACAGATCTCCTCCCTGGTCCGCAGGGCCGCCCTCACGCACAACGACAACCACTTCAACTATGAGAAGACACACAACTTTAAGGTAAGCACGCCTCTGCATTCTTTCTTCTGTTGTAAAAGGGCAGGTGGAGAGGTACAGTTTATGGTTCACATATGGTCTTTGGTTGTAAAGTAATGAGACAGCGAATTCCTTTGCTTTCCACGATAAGCTGCATGCAGACCCCGTTGCTTTTATGGAACCTCAGAAAGCAGTTTGCTTGACGCTGATGCCTAGAAACACCAATATGTATGTAAACTTCATTCTGGAGAATTGGGCCCATTTCCTCTTCCTATGCCTATGGCCAGTGAGAGGAAAACAGAGCATGCCCACTCTGTGGCATTTAGAGATCTGGGGTGAATGTGGAGCAGTACTTTTCCACTCAGAGCAGCAGTAAAGACTCTTGCTATCTCTGAGTAAGTGAAAACAGTTGCCCATTCACATTCTGTGTTTCGTCTTTTGTTTTCCGAGATGCTCACTCCTTTGGTTTATGTGTAGACAGCTGTGAAAGCAAATGATGACAGGAGATACCATCCAGTCGCTTTTGTTTGTACTCTGGGTGCAGGGGGCACCCTGGCAGCCTGGCCAAGCTGCCTCCCGTCGCAGCCTTGATCCTGCTCACCAGACCAAACAAAAAGAGGTGTAAAGCGGGTGGGAGTTTAAGTGGATTTTCCCATGCGTATTTATAAACTAGAAGTGCTGCTATCTTTATTTCAGACCAGCACTTGTAGAAACGGCCTGCCATTAGAAAATTATGGCCTATTTCCTTTGCCCTAGTATGTTTTCCAAGAAGGGCTGGGAGGAGATTCTGATGCCAAATTGCCTGGCTTGAGATGCTGTTGAGAGGAGGAGAGACAGGATGGAGTTAGAGGTTTTACCCCAGCAAATGGGCTGTCAATTAGGAAGCTGGAGAGAATGGAGATGAAGGATCCAGGAAGACAAGAAGAGGCAGGGGCCCCAAATTGTGTTTTAAACTCTTACCTCCTTTAGGGCCCATAGCCCAGTGACTATTGAAAATTGATAGCCCCTTTGTCAGAGGTGACCAGGCAAACCGATTTTATTCTGTTGCTTTCCGATCCTTCCTAAGGACAAATGTGTGTCTATTAAATATATGTGCGTGTTAGTTGGGTCTGTTTGCCCTGCTTCTGTTTTTAGAAAGCAAGCAGCTCAGGCATTTGCATGCTATAATTGAACTGAGGAATGGAGTTATTCAGCCCTCCATATTTAGCATGAGGATGAAGAATTGCATTATATAGGTCCTCATCTACGCCACTGCTCTTGATATTTCTCCCATCACTGAATAGTGACAGGTCTAATCTGGGGCACAGAAAGTCTTTGTTTTTTCTCTTTCCTGTTTCCTCTGTTTACCCTCATTAATTTTTTTGCCTTGAGAATGTGTTTTTCTGACTTTTGGCAGAAATCTTGATTCTTTGCATCTTGTGAATGCACTACCATGGATGGGAGGGTGGATCTTCTTGGACTTGCAAATTCTTTTCCTTCCTCTTGAAAATTCCAGCTCTTTTGGCTGGAAGATACAATTGGAAGTATGCCCTACCTTGATATGTGTTTGCACGGGATAGCTTCTCTGTGTATATACTGTGTCTGAGCTTGTGTGGAAAGCACACAAGTATATTTAGGTGATTGATCATTTCAAGACTAATTTCAGTCTTTTTTAGTCTTAGATCTCTGAATTGGAAATGAAGACATTTAAAATGAAAAGATAGTTCAATCTTATTCTCTTAAATAGTACTGTTGCTAACATGATCTATATTTATTTATCACTTAAGAATATCCACAGCTTTTTAAATGTTTGCTTAAAAAGTCAATACGTGTTTGGTGAAATCTCTTCTAACTTACAGCTGTGGAGAGAGGCAAAGGCAGAGAACAGACAGGTTGTTGGAGAGGAATATACAAGCCAGACAGGAGTGTTTCTCTTCCGAGTTTTAAATAGCCATCTTTGAAACATAGCAGACCCTTGAGTCTCTGTGTCAGTTGATTGTGGCTTTCATTGGTGCTGCTCGTGCCACTGTCCTTAAGAATGAGTGGCTGGCGTGGGAGGGGGTGGTTTCCTCTGTCTTTCCTTGCCTCTTCCACCCTCATTCGGCCCTCTCCTCACCCCCAACTAACTTTAAGTGAGAACTTTGCGTGGTCTTTGGAAAAACATTCTAAAAGCAGGTCAGTGCTATAAATAGAGCAGTGGGTTTTTAGTAACACGCCACTGCACTAACTGAAGAAAGAAAAAATTCTTATCAAAGGTTCCTGCCATCTGCTTGGAATTAGGATAAAATTAAGACATAAAACAAACTTTTTCTTCTAATGGGCTTCTTTTTCTTCTTGACTTCTAATGGGCTTTATTCTGAAACTTTCTTGATTTGTAATTTGGGTTATTATTTGAGAATATTGTGTGCATGGCACAAAGTGAGTGTTCAATAAAAAGAACAAATAATCACATTTTAATGCTTATCAGCACACAAGCCTTGCTAGGCCCTGTCTGCACGCTCATCTAAAGGCCTCTTACCAGAGATTCGAATCTGCCAGCAGATCCTAATGCCTCACCCCACAACAAGATTTTTTGCCCCAGTCAGGACTAGTCCCCCACGTAAAATGCCCTCTCTTCGCTCTCCCCGGGAACTTTGTCAAGAGGAATGAATAGAAACTCCCAACACTGTACAGTTGGGAACTCCCGCTCCATTCTTTCAGAAAGCTCCCAGTCACTGCTCTTCAGTGCACGTCTACTGTCCTTGCTTTCAAATAAAGTGTGTCTAGGAAAAGGCAAAATTCAGCTCTGGGAACAAAAGCTTTTGGAAGCAAAGTAAAGTTGTGCCTCATTTCCTGCAATAATTATGTACTTTCAATGCTGTATGCAGGTGCAATTGTTGCTAATTTAAATCCTAAATTCTCTGAGGTTACTTGCACCTACTAGGCACTATGAGATATTTGTTGGAGGAAGGATGACATTAACAGACTCCTCTCTAAAATGAAAACTCTTTGATAAACAGAAAAACAACTCCTTTATTTAACTTATTTTACATCTGCATGTCTGTTTAGCTAGTTGACTTAAAGAGGCACTCTCCTATAGGTGGTAGATGGGCTACCCTAATCCGCTTTGTGGCTGAGCTCTAAAATCTTCAGGCCAGTGAACCCCAGAGTCCCGACAATCTGGATAACTGTCCTTCCTTCCCCTCATCCCTAGCGTTCTCCATGCCCCATCCATACTCCCATCCCCATCCATCCCCCCACATCCCTTTCCCGGCACTCTGCCAGCTGTACTTTTCTCCATAACACTGATCACCAGCTGACATTGTACATATTTATCTGTGTGTTTGCCTTCCCCTTACCAGATGGAAACACCCCACCCCATCCGCCCACCCCTCACCCCTAGTGGGCAGGGATTTTTGTCTGTTTTACTTCCTGCAGAAACCCCGTGTCTAGAACAGGGCCTGGCCCAGAGTGGGCTGTCAGTAACTATTGGTTGAAGGCATATGCAGCAGATGTCGTATGGCCCATCTACCTAAGAGGACTTTCCCTCCTCACACCCCACCCGACAGTTTGCCCTCATTTGTGGCTTGTTGCACTTGTGTGAATTATGCTTGAGTCCTTCCAGGTAGTAGGTCCTTGCCAGGGTCACCAGACTATGCCAGAGATACAGAGACCATATCAGGGTGTGTCAGGCCAGCTCTCGTTCCGTTCGCAAGAGGGTCTGGCCATACAGAGCTACCCAGAGTCTTATACTTGGGGGAGGTGGGGGAGCAGGTACCCTGGCTTATTCCTGTTGTCCCAGCTTCCTGTGTGGTGACTCTCAAAAATGGCCTGGTCTGGACTTAAGTTAAATGGTTACCCAACTTACCCTTTTATGTCCTGACTCTCAATAGACGGAGGCTGCACATTAGTATCCTGTTCCCGTGATCCACCATGTGCACATGTGTGCTCATGTCACATGCAACTTCTAAACACACCTACCACCCCATAAGATCCTGGGGCCAGGACTAGAAGTTCAGGAGGTAGAGAGTGTGTCCTGGTGCTACTGCTAGGACTCCTCTCCAGGGTGTGACAGCACCACCGCCTCCCACTGTGGGGTTTGTGGTCCATTTATGGTTTCTATGCCTCTCGTTGGTTTTTGCATTCTTATCAGCCTAGTGGTCATTTGCTTTGGAACAAGCCATTTTTGTTCCCACATGCAAATTCCTCTCTTTTCCTCCTCCTCCTTGACCTCATAAAATGTGTCAGCCCTTCGTCCCCAGTACTCCACCTGCCTTGGGTTCTCACGGACATGCAGCGGCCCATCGTCCTTCCATACCCGTCTTGATCTCTTTCTGTGCACCGGGGGAGCAGAGCCAGGGGTGGTCGGCTATGCCCACACTTTGGCACAGGCAGAAATTAACTTCAGAAATGGTTGTGGGTTTTATTTTCTTCCTTTTGTTTAATCATCAGAGAAGGTTGTTTTGGCAGAAACACGTCTACAAGGAAGAATTTAAAGGAAAGACAGACTTCATCGCCGTGAATATAAAACGAGGGACTCAAAGTGAGACTGGAATAAATGGGCTTGGAAATATTGGGCTTTATGAAGAAAATATGGTTTCTGCTCCCAAAGTGCTATGAAGAAGAGTCATTTTTATCTACCTCCTACTATAGCCTGGCTCTACCATTATCATTACTAAAACTCCCTCTTTTCAAGTAATAGAAACCCCAGAAACTGTCTTAAGCTAACTAAGAGGCTATTATACAGGAGGGTCTCCTAGAGCCCTTGGGGACTGCTCAGAACTCAGGCAGGGGAGGAAGAGGAACTGGGAGTACACCTGGACTCAGGTTCTCCTTCTCTTCCCCCTCCCTCCCTCTCTCCCTTCTTCTCTCTCCCTCTCTCCCTGCTGCTTCATTGCTCTCTGGGTATCAGCCCCATTGTTCTCTCCCTGCACAAAAATGTCTTAGTCCCTATGGTCTGCAGAATATGGCTGATGATAACTCCCCAGTTTATATGTTACAAGACCAGCCACAAAATCCCAGTTCCAAGTTTCTAGGAAGACAATCAGAATAGCTTAACTTGGACC